GTGAAAAAGAATCCGTCATCCCCACTGTATACAACTTTGGGTGTTATTACCAAAGGTACAGTCATTGAGGTGAATGTCAGCGAGTTGGGCCTTGTAACACAAGGAGGCAAAGTGATTTGGGGTAAGTCAATTTTTGAATATGGAGATATTGGTGTTCTACAGTCCTAATAGAAATACATTTCAAGTTGATAGTACACAGCACACATTTTTAATGTGGAAGAGCTATGTGAGCTAAAACTTTATGTAAATCTTTAGGAACACTACTTTATAGAGCAAGTTATGCTGCACTTTTTAAAATTGAGCTTATTGGTTTCATTTAAATAAGGGGTAATTTGTCATGCAGCAATTTTAAACTCTTTTTAGTGCTTAAAGTACCTTTAAACTGTGATGTTCTTCAAAAGGGAAGAATATACCTGAAATTCTTGTAATTGGTTCATAATTCATGTTGGCAACTAATCTCAACATGGTGCATTTTTAAGGAAGAGTCAGAAAAGTAGAGGCGTATTAATGCAATGAACTAATAGAATAGAGCCAATTACTATTTATAAATAAATAAATAGATGGATGGATGAATGAAATATCCATTGACAACTAAAAAAATATTTTGTAAGAAAATTATATTCAGAACACAGCTTGGTCTTGAATGACTTAAAAATCTTATTCTATTCATATTTCATAAAAGTGGTTATTAGACGTATTTTAGGAATATTATAATTAAGAGTTTAATTTTATATTTTTTTAAATTTGGGGGCTAGGATATAACTCAGTGTTAGAGCAATTGCCCAGCATATACAAGGCCCTGGGTTTGATCCCCAGCACCACGAAGTGAAATTATATTTAATTTTTATTAGCTAACATTTCTCACATCTTTTTTTTTTCTCCCCATCAGGGAAATATGCCCAGGTTACCAATAATCCTGAAAATGACGGATGCATAAATGCGGTCTTACTTGTTTGACAACAGTTTTACACTCCTTGGAATTATTATAAGACTACAAATCAATCAGGAAAACCACCATTACTGCACAGTGATGGTTCTCAATACTACCAAACAGCCTTACGTATCTGCAGTCATTAAGAACTATATATTAAACTGTTTAAAAAAAAAAAAACATTAAAATGAGGGAGTTTGCAGGTTGTTCTTTATTTGGGGGTTTATGTTAAGGGTTTACATGTTTTTAAGATTCAACAATTGAAAAAGCAAACCCATAAATACCAGTATCTGCATTAAAGAGTGGATATTCAGCAATGCAGATCTGTCATTTCGGAAAAAACCACCAGTATAACTGAAAAAATATCTAAGAGAAAAACAGGCTATACAATGTAGAAAAAATTCAGACCTCTTAGATAAATCTTTTCATCAGTGATCTTGTTCAGTAAGTAAATTAACATACTTTTTTATGTTAGCATTTTCTATATTCTGTATATATACTTGTGCTTTCAGAATGGTACTAAAAATTTTGGATAATTCCACTTAGTTTTCATTAATGCCCCAAAGAGAAAATTATTTGCAATTAATTGGTTAATGTAAATAAAAAGGTCATGTTTTAGGGTTCTAATTCAATTCCGTGGTTTGAATTACATGGTCATGACTCTAAGCTTTAGGGTGTCTATATACTACATTAATCACCACAACATTTTAAATTCTGTTTTATTTTTAAGTCTGCAAAGTACAGCCAATAGTGATTATTTCTTTAACAAAATAACTGAATATCTAAACAAATTCAGTATCTAAACACATTTTCATGAATGAAAGTAGGGGTAAAGTGAAAGAATTTTAAAACAGACCAGAAAACAATCACAAAATATATTAATAACTATTTTCAAACTTTAAAAAAAAAAAGTATTCTGTAAGACTTGCTATTCTGAATAATGTTTCATTTTTCCTAAGTTCTATAAACGTAATCGAAGTTCTAGAACACATAGGAAAAGGAAGGCTAGTTCCATGTAAATGATGGTTCAGTACAATAGAAATCATTTGACAGAAGCTGAACCCTTCTTAAATTAGAATTTAACAAATGATTTTGCCACTAATAAAAATGGGTAATGTGTGAATTAAGTTCTAGAAGAGGGAAAAAATTAACTTTAGGTAATAACTGATTACTACAGAAAGGACGTTTGCTCAATTTTTAGACCCAAATTAAAGAAACAAATTATCTTGTAAAAAAGATGTTTGATACTCAGTATGAAAACAAGCATAACATTTGTAATAAATCACCTGTGAAAAGACTGGATCACACCTGAAACACCATGTTGCTACCAGTGGACATACAAGGCAGAAATCTGTTTCTAAAATATTGTTACACAGATGAGTAGTGTCAGTATAAATTCTTTATTTACATTAAAATCTTGCAGTTTGCTGGTGTGACCTAACCTTAGAAGATAACCCCCAAGGATAAAGTGGAACATAAGAGCAGATAATTTAGATATTAGGTAAAGACTCAATCATAAACCTTCAAGACACTTTTTATAAAGTCACTAAAACCATTTTAAATAGTGTTACAGTAATCTGCTAAAAGCAAACCATTAATAACTAGATGTTATCTTTACCATCTCTGCACTGTATGGAAACACCATGAATATAAACACATTTTAAGTCATGCTGTTTGATTTTATAAAAAAATCGTAATAGAGCCTCTCACCTTTAAAAGTTGTAGAGGAGCTTTGTTAATTTTTAAATATACTAATTTCTGTGAGGTCTAGCAATTGAATAATTTATACTTGAAAGAACTAAAATTTTGCTAATAACCATCTGCTTTATATTACACAAGGAAATATATACGTATATACACAAAAGTCAATTCCTTTCTTGGCAGACATCTGAATAGAAAATAGCAGTTCACAAAGGACTATGTAGAATGTGACTGAACACTCAACAACTAGACTAGCTGGTTGAAATCACATTATAGTCTACTGTAATTTTGAAAGTTTTTCTAATGTGTTACAAAAACTACAAGTATCTGATTAAGTTTATTTAGAATCTCTATTCAGGATAAATTGTTATAAACTGTATATATCAACATAAATTACTAAACAAGAAAAGTTAGGTTTCTCCATGTGATCTAACTTTTTGCTCTATGATCTATAACCCAAAAATAACATTTTCTAACTATCATAGATATTAATAACATTTTCTCATGTGCTGAGCAAAGTTTTGAACAAGTGTTAAGTTTACACTGTTAGTCCCCAGTGATCATACATGAATAAGAGACTTCACACACCAAGAGTTGTGAGTACAATCTTCTTTTAAAACTATACCAGTTTTAAAGAAAGTAAGCCAGCAATGAGCAAAAAAAAAATTAGTAAATTATCTAAAAGTCTATTTTAAGAAATGAAAGATGGAAACTATGAATTTTCTGGATCTTAACAGGATCTAAGTTACCTTCCTAGTTGTGATATTAACAAGTTTCTTAAACTGTAAAATAGCATGAATATTGGATAGGTTCACTAGCATTAGTCACACTTATATGCTGAGAAAACAAATGACCAAAGTACTTTCATTTTCACTTAGAATAAAATTATCTAATTTCCTCTGACCAATAATTATAGAAAATAGAGAACACAAGTGTTCAAGATCTTATGTGAATAGGAAGGGCTTACTGTTTTGCCTGCTTAAGAATTTAACTAATTGATCTTTCTAAAATATCAATATTCCAAAATAAAATTTAATGACATGACATCATCAGACCACCTGACTTAAGACTGAATAAACTTTCAACATAAATCCATAGCACCTCAAATCATGACAGAAAGTCATAACATGTTTCACACAAAAATCAACAAGCTGTCAAGAACAAACTGAAAGGATCTCAAAATATTCTCAACATAAAGTGCAAATTGAAGTTCACATAATACTTTCAAAAAGTGGGATCTATATTGAGATTCTCTTTCAATTCTAAGAGTAACTATTTTATTTATTTTAAAACAAATTGCCATACAAAAACTTAAGTTTAGGGATTTTTTTCCCTCCAAATTTTTCTAAGCAAATAAATGACTTTGCTGTGGCACCACAAAGTACATACAGAAGCTAGCTTGCAACCAATACTCAGAACAAATCTAAAAGTGAGCAAGACCAAAGGGACAACTGAACCCTTCAATTTGATTTAAGCTATTGTACCTAAAGCTCCCAAGGCAGCTTTTCTCCTGCCATCTAGGCCTGAGATTGTGGGTACAGTTCCAGTTCTACACAAAAATGGATACCAAGGGCATAAACTGACAGGCAGGCAGATCTTTTGACTGAAGAATCACAATGAGAGAGGACCAGATGAAAGCTGATGGAAAAATAGGGTTACTGAATTAAGGATAAAGCTCAGAAAAGGATCTTCTGAAGTATAGCTATTAATTGAGTAGGAACAAACGTATAGTTTTTGGTCATTTATCTTAGATTGAGACTAGATAGGGGCTGGGGTTGTGGCTCAGCGATAGAGCACTCGCCTAGCACGTGCGAGGCCCTGGGTTCGGTCCTCAGCACCACATAAAAATGATATTGTGTCCATCTACAACTAAAAAATAAAGACTAGATAGCCCAAATTAAACTGTATCCCTAAATTCTATAGTTAGGATGTTTCCCTGATTAAAGGTAATAAAAAAATTACAACGAACTACTACTTCAAATGGAATTTTAAAAATTTCCCCACATGCTAGTTAAATCCCTAGCAATTCTGTTACTATCAGAGTCAAAAGTATATTTTGTATGTAGCTTTCTGCAAACATTGAAGTCAAAGGAAGAAACTGCATCCCAACTAAGATTAAAAGGACAGAACCAAAATATCTTGATAAACCTGTGACATAAGTTTCTTTTTCTGGGCTGTAATTTACTTAAGGTTTTACTTACTCTAATTTACTGCCATTTTTGTTTAGGTGTGCCAACTTTTTAAAAACTGGGAATTAGTTTTGATATCCAATATAAAACTTCTAGACCCTTCACCAAGTTTTACTATTAAAACCCTTAGTATAAAAGATTTCTGTGATCCTTACAAGTAATGGAAAGCCGACTACTCACTTTTTAAATTTATATTTTTTTGAAATATCAATGGTCAAGTATCCCACCTGCTAAAGAAAAATATAGTATGATCTGGTTTCCCAAAATTGAAATATGGTTAATAAAAATAAAAAATTCTATTTACACAAAATAGTCTGAAAAAATTAAAAAGAATGTTGAACCACAGGTCCTAAAGGGAGAGAAAAACTGCATCATAAATTCCAGTTCAAATTGAAATTTTAGAAATTTTTGTCCTGTGCCCCATGCTGTTTATTAATCACTGTTTTAAAAACAACAATTATGTTACAAAGAGGATTTATCATACACATTTCTTCTTCATTCAGGTCAGCTTGGCTTTCTTCTTACCAGGTCCTTTATGCCCTTTGGCCTTTCTTCTTAAATTCCGCCTATCTACTACAGGCACTTCCACTTCTATCTCCTCTGAGCTGCTATCCACAGCTTTTTCTGCTGATTGTGTAAACTGATCCAGTTGCTCAGAAGATGCTTCAGACTGCTCCTCTGACTGGTTCTTCTGTCCTGCATTCTGTGAAAATTGCACATCCTCAAGTTCAACCTCTATCAAAGAACTCTGAGAAAGAGCAGTAGATGTGTCCTGGGGCTCAGGCACCCCCTCCTCACCCTGGTCTTCAAGTGAGGAAGTAGTGTTGGGTGATAAATTCTCAGATACCGGTTCTTCAGAAAATTCAGCTATCACGGAGTTTGGAAAACCACTGTCAGATCGGTCTTCATTTGAGATACTGTCAACCTTGTCTGAACTTCCAAAATGTGCTTTCTTTCTTGAAACTGGAGACAGTTTCTCTTCGGTGTGCCCTTTGTCATCAGATGGGCCTTGGTCTATCAACATTTCTGTATCAGTTATATGTGGAGTCTGAAAACACAAAATTTGGTTTTTGTGTTTTGCAATATAGTTCAATATAGTTGCAAATCTTTTGCAATATAGTTCTAAAATGAATTATTTTCACATAAATCTGTAATGAACTACAACTTAAAAGAATTCAGTATACATTATTTTTGTTAATCATCTGCATATTCCAAATACAATTTATTCAAAAATTGTTTCATAGTAATTTTAATACACTATTAGATATAATAATTATTTTACCTCAAAGAGTACTTAGGACTTTTAAAAGTTTTTTTAATATCTTTATTTTTATTTTATTTTTTTCATATGGTGCTGAGGATCAAACCCAGGGCTTGACGCATGCAAGGCAATTGCTCTACCACTGATCAACAACCCCAACCTGACATTTTTAAATTTTATACCAAGATTCTGCAAAACCATGAATTACCTCCAAGAGTTTAGTCTCCTGGTGGTACTGGAGCCAGAACCAAGAACTGCTTAACACTATGCTACTCCACTAAATCTGATTATGGTTTCATTAGGTAAGGGCAATGTAAGTTTTATTCAGCAATTTAGTTGACAGACTAGTAAATCAGTGTAATATAATATTTTAGCCTTAAGTTAGAATATTTAAAAGTAAAAGAAATTTCTTTTCAAATACTACACCATGGTTTTTTTCCCACTAATCTATTCTGCCTCATTAATTAAAATTATATTGGTCATAGACTATGAAAGCAGGTGGGATACTTGACATTTGATAAATCATGTTTATCCACTTTTCTAAGCATTCCCTAAGTAAATAAAGTAAAAATTCATTTCATTATCATAAAGCAGATATGCCTTTTGGGCCGGGGGCAGTTGCTAGGGATTGAAATCAGAAGGCAGATACTGTACAAGTTAAACTGGAGGAAAATATAGTATGCAATCCCCTCTATCCTCAATGGCATTTATAATAGCACACGTTAAATGATTTTTTTTTAAAAAAAAAATGGGGTTATTTCTGTCTTACCTTATCTGGTGCAACAGCCTCGTGAGGTTTTGAGGATTCTACCACCAGTGGAACGAGATTTACAGTGTCTTCACTGGAATTACAAGACTGTGCTTTTAATTCTTCTTCTAAACCTTCACTAATGGAGTCCTCTTCTTCCGTTGTAAGTGAAGTCTTAAGAGTATCATCCATTATCTCACCATTCATAGGCTCTAATTCAGAGTCCTACAGCAGGAGGGAAAAGCAGAGACCTTATAATAAACTTTTTGGTATGCAAGATTCATCCCTTCTCAGTTCCTATCATCCTTCAGGACTCATGATGGAGTTAAAACATTATATGGTATCAGAACTATTATTTGACCCTCTTTCAGTAATAGTCTTACTGGAGGAAAATGGAAACTAATGAGGAAAGGTCAACAAAGAACCCATAAATAGCTCATACTCCCAGTGTTCTAATGGAGATGGGGCAGGAGTATGGGTCTAAAATTTGATGAAAAGACCCTGAACTTTCCTGCTCTTCTTTCTTGCCTGACAATCATGAGAGGAACTTTTTCAGTAAAAAGGCACCAGAGGGAGCCTAGACTTTTTAAGGTTCATCACCTGGAATCTTTGGGACCTGTTGGAAATTATTTTATCTTGCCAGTGAAAGTCTCCTAGAAAGTGGAGTTTGGGTGCTGCTTCTTACTGGGAAAAAAAGAGAACCCCATTCTCAGCTAGCTCATTGTTAGTCAACCCAGGATCATTTCTGAACAATCTGGCTCCTTGCATCACATTAAAATATGGGAAGGTGATCTGATAACACAAATCCTCCAATTTCTGAAATTCTTCTTCCAGTGTTTATCAGTTTATTTCTATTTAATGATAAATATTTCAAATTAATTCTAGTGACAAGTCTAATAATTAGAAGAAATTTTATTACCATATTAAAAATTAGAAAACAAATACATTTGAGTATTCAGAAATAGAATACAAGATTTCTGAAAGCATATTAAGGAAAGTTCTCTAAAGAGATGTTGAAGTCAGAGACTTATCTTTTCTATAAAATTTTTTTTTTTTCTAAGACTGAAGTTACAGCTCAGTGGCAGAGCGCTTGCCTAGCAGGTATGAGGCACTGGGTTCACTCTTCAGCACCACATATAAATAAATAAAAATAAAGGTCTATTGATAACTAAAAAAATATTTAAAAAATTTTTTTTTCTAAAGTTTTCTTTCTTTTTACTACCAGGTAACAGGGACTGACCCCAGGGGCACTTAAACACTAAGCCACATCCCCACATCCCCAGCCCGTTTTTTCAAATATTTATTTAGAGACAGAGTCTCATTGAGTTGATTAGGGCCTCGATAAATTGCTGAGGCTGGCTTCATGATCCTTCTGCCTCAGCCTCCTGAGCAGCTGGGATTATATAGGCAGGCACCACCAAGACCAGCTTAAAGTAAAAGTTTTTCTATAATTAATATATATTTTATTATTATCCAGGTGGTACACAGAATCAGATGCACACATAAGGTAATTACAATAAACTAATAAAAGGACCAACCAGAGTGGGAGAATGTTAAAAGGAAGAAAATTAGATAAATCAAATGCTTAAAAAAATAAACTGTGGTAACTGAAAGTAAGAAATGAAAAGGCCAGTCCATTAAGTTTTAAGTTTGAAAACAGAATGAAAGATAAAAACCAGGAAAAACAGGTTCAATACAGAAATAATAATTTAAAAAAAAAAAAAAAAAGGACTAGAGCTTGGTGCAGTGGCACATACCCATAAGCCAAGCTACACAGGGCGAAAGCAGGATAGCAAATTGGAGGCCAGCCTCAGCATTTAGTGAGGACCTGAACAACTTAAAGATACCCTGTCTCAAAATAAAAAATAAAAAGGGCTGGGATGTAGCTCAGTCGTAAAGCACCCCTGGGCAAAACCTCTAATATCCCCTCCTACAAAAAAAAATAGAGAGATTTGGGTTTAATTTAAGATGACAGAAGATATCTGTCTAAATAGAAATATTCAGTAGGCAAGTGACATTATGGGACCAGAATCTGAATAAATATTGAAAATCTAGAGTTACTGACCATCCCCATAAAGATAACAGTTTAAGTCATTAGATTGAATGTACTTTCAAAAGAGAGACCATGAACCAAAAAGTTTTCTAAATCTTTCTGAGTTTTCTAGAATGTCCATAATAAGGACAAAAGTAAAAAGGAGTCATTCATACATACATACACACATACATACATAACTACAAACAAAACTGCAGAGATTTTTTTTAAAAAAATGAGTGTTATAAAGACAAGGAACCAGAGAACTTCTAGGTGGGGAAAGTAGTTAATCCAGGTAAGGGAAGCCATCTGCATTAAAAAGGAAGTTGTCACTGATGACATTGAGCATGTGCTCAATGTCTTGCTGAGTGAATGAAGCAGGTTATATGAGGTACAGTAGATTGTAGATACAACAGTTTATTCTAGAGTTTAAAGGAGGAGAAGAAAACAAAATATCTATTTCTATCATCATTTAGATGCATACAAATCTTGGGTTTTTCAAAAGTGCTTTTCTTTATTTTTCCATATGTATTTTTATTTATTTTCTCAATTTCATACAATAAAAATGCTATTTAAAAATATAGTTTTGAAAATAAATAAATGAACCAAATACAGTTTTATGAAGAAGTAGTAGCTAAATTGGTGTGTCTTAAAAAAAGAAAATAAGGCTGGGGATGTGGCTCAAGCGATAGCGTGCTTGCCTGGCATGCGTGCGGCCTGGGTTTGATCCTCAGCACCACATACAAACAAAGATGTGTCCGCCAAAAACTAAAAAAAAATAATAAATAAATATTAAAAAAATTCTCTCTCTCTCTTTAAAAAAAATAAAAGTTATAGGTGGATACAATATCTTAAAAAAATAAAATAAAATAAAATCAGTTATGTAGTTATTCACCTGATGTACAGATTTGGAAAACAATTTAAAAGATTTTTTGAGAAACTCCAATACATATGAAATAAGGAATCTGTAGAGAGGAAAGGATTGAAGCTATTGGAAAAAGAAGAGAACAGAAATAGGAGGAAAAAAGAGGATAAGAATAATTGAAGAACAACAGAAATTAAGCAGATAAATAGTTAAACTAGTTATAAAGGCTTTGCCTGTTTTCTCCACTTTTAGAGGGGAAAAGGTTCTTTTTATAGGAATCTGTAAGATCAATCATGGTTAAATATTTTTTTTATTTTGGATAACTGATTCCTATACTTCTATCCAAAATAGGGATGCAACTAAGAGCATTTTGGACCTAAAAGCATTCTAACTGGTCTGTAAGGTCACATCAATTGTGTACTTCTTCAGTGTATTTAATTCCACAAATCAATTTACATGTTATTATCTATTTATTTATTGTAGTACTGAGGATTGAGCCCACAGGCAGGCATTCTACCACTGAGCTACATCCCAAGCCCTTCCTTCCTTTCTTTGAAGTACACTGAAGCATCGTAGTACTTGATTATTCCTACATATGTGATACAACTCAAATTTCTATAAACTCAGCTTGAAATAAATTACTCTTATAACTTTATTCTCTCTCCCAACTGTAGCACCTGGGTGCCCTTATTTATTATCTGCTTCTTAACACTAACCGTAACTTATTTAAAATATATCATTATATTATTCTACCAATACATGATTAAGAAAATCTTACTTTACGTTCATTCATCTTATTTCACAAGTGACCTCATACCTTTTCACCATCTTGCTTTTCTATTCGTAGCTGGGTTTCAGGTGCAGGACGTGTATCTTTATCACGACTTTCATCCTCAAATTCACTCACTCTCTGCTCAGGTTCTTCTTCCAGGAATTCTTCTGAGCTCTCGGAGGGGCGTGTAGTAGACTCTAATCTAGAACACAAAAGAAAACCATTCTTCCTTGTTCTCTTAAGGATCAGTATAAAACTTCAGGAATCTGCTGGGCATGGTGGTGCATGCCTCTAATCCCAGCAGCTTGGGAGGCTGAGACAGGAAGATCACGAGTTCAAAGCCAGCCTCAGCAACGGGAGGCACTAAGCAACTCAGTGAGACCCTGTCTCTAAATAAAATACAAAATAGGGCTGTGGATATGGCTCAGTGGGTGAGTACCCCTGAGTTCAATCCCTAGTATCACCCCCTCCAAAAAAAAAACTTCAGGAATCCTTTCTCTTTTTTGGTGGGGGGGGAGGGGATACTGCGTATTGAACTCAGGGGCATTCAACCACTGAGCCACATCCTCAGTCTTATTTTGTATTTTATTTAGAAACAGGGTCTCTTGTGTTGCTTAGCGCCTCGCCGTTGCTGAAGCTGGCTTTGCCATTGCTAAAGCTGGCTTTGAACTTCTGATCCTCCTGTTTCAGCCTCCTGAGCCACTGGGACCCCCAGGAATCCTTTCTTAACAAAGTAACATTTCAGAGATTCAAACAGTATCCTCCAACCAACAAATGGAAAAACTTGCAGGGAGAAAACTAATCTCTTCATTTTCTCATAAATTTGTTCTCTTCCCCACATTGTTGTTCTTCTCAATCATGTGAATTAGACCTATCTTTTATTCTACCTGTATATTATCAGCTCTTCCTTCTATTAGAATGAACATGTATCCCAAGTTTATCTGAACAGTCCAAAATTATGGATACTGGCATTATTATTATATATTTTTGTGGTGATGGGGATCCAACCCAGAGCCTCCTGCATGCTTAACAAATGCTCCACTGACCAACAACCCAAGCCCAATTATTAATAACATCCCTGTCATACTCAAACATATCAGCATGGATAAAAAGTTATAATGGTTTAATACTAACTCCAAAATGATTTTCCAGAATATCACTTTCTATTCCCATTTTCAAGGCTCTGCTTTAAGCCCCAATTCTCTGTTGATCACTGTAACTTCTCAACTCAACTTTGGACCTGCAGCATTCTTCATCAAAGCTCTCAGAGTTGTCTTTCTAATATACCTATTTTTACTTGTGACAGAGCAGGTCAGAAAACTTGAAGGGTAGCTGGACTTGGGGACACAGGCCTGTAATCCTGACAGTTTGGGAGGCTGAGGCAGGAGGATCTTGAGTTCAAAGCCACTCTCAGCAAATCAGCAAGACCCTATCTCTAAATAAAATATTTTAAAAAGGGCTGGGGATATGATTCAGTGGTTAAGTGACCCTGGGTTCAATCTCTATTACAAAAAAAGAAAAAGGAAAGAAAAGAAAAAGCAAAACTTGGAGGGCTCTTTACAAGCTCTTTGAATAAAGTGTATCTCCTCCTCTCAAGGCCTAAGGTTACCAGAGCATTATTTTTTATTTCCTACTAAACAGATGCTATCATTCACCTTATGTATCAGTTATCCTACTCAACAGTGCTCCTAATTTTGTGCATTTAGTCTGGATCTGTACTAGTATAGTAGCCATAAGACAAGTCACTATTTTTAAATTTAAATTAATTAATATTAAACGAAATTTAAAAATCCAATTCTTCAGTTGCACTAACCACACTTCGTGGTACACTACCTAGAGAACATCGCCACCCGTTGCAGAAAGTTCTATTGGGCAGCACTGGTCTGTATCAGGGGATCAGTAACTTTTCCCTTAATCTTTGTGAGCCATATGGTCTCTGTTCCAATTTCTCAGCTCTGCAATCGTAATCCAAAAAACAATCAAAATAAAAGATGCATAAACCTAATGAGCATGGATATCTTACAATAAAAAATTTACAAAAACACAATAGGACAAAAACAGGTGGCAGAGCTGGGGGGTATAACTTAGCAGTAAAGCACTTGCCTAGCATGTGCAAAGTCCTGGGTTTGATTCCCAGCAATGAAAGAAAATTACAGTAGTTTAAAAATAAATAAATAAATAAAAATTAAAAATCCAGGGGCAATTTGGCTTACAGATCATAGTTGGTGAACTTTTAGATTAGAAAGTCTTCTTTCCCAACTTTGCTGATTGTCTTTTTATCTTTGAAACCCTCACTTCAAATGCCAAATCTCTTCATTCCCTCAACTGAACATACTCCCTTTTTTCTCTGCATCCCCTGCGTTCTTCAGTTTTATTATTGCTCTATCACAATCCAGCCTGTAGTGCTCCTAGCTATGTACATGTCTGTCTTTACCAAGAGGCAGTAAATTCTTCAAGGGCAAAGATGATGTTGTACTCCTCACTATGCCTAAAGTAGCATTTGAGTGTTTATTCTTACTGTTATTGTTCTGTTTATGAAAAGCAAACAAATTACTCAATAACTGATATTCAATTTAAAATGCACTATTATATTCCCTTCTAAAAGGGTACTACATCAAAACACTGCTCAGTGACAAAACACTGGGGTTGTCTAAAGTCTTATTCTTTTCACTAATTACTAGATTCAAATATTGCTTTTAACATTGTAGATTCTTTACTAAAATAACACCTTTAAATACTTAATTACGCAAATTTCCAATTCTTTACATAATGAAATTAACACAACTACAGAATCCTCTATCTAACAAAACAATCTGACAGCAAAAAGACCAAAGCTATGAAATAACTAAATGGTTGACTCCAGAATGGTTGATAGATCTATTCAAGCTGAAGTCTAATTTTATTATAAAATTTAAAATCTTAATAAGACACAAGGAAGGCAGAGAACAGCATTTCCACCAAAGTGTTCTGTTGATTCAGTTGACTACTAAGTTTGTGAAGAACTGACTGCATTATTTATGGTTATCACTTAGAAATTATATCCAATAGCCCAATAAAATGGATGAATTATAAAGTAAAATTAAGGGGTTTTAGCCAGGCATGCCTGTAATCCCAGTAGCTCAGGAGTCTGAGACAGGAGGATCACGAGTTCAAAGCTAGCCTCAGCAACTGTGAGGCACTAAGCAACTCAGTGAGACCCTGTCTCTAAATAAAAATACAAAATAAGGCTGGGGATGTGGTTCAGTGGTTGAGTGCCCCTGAGTTCAACACTTAGTACCCTCCGCACCCCGACCCCCTGAAAAAAGAAAATTGAGGGTTTTTAAAAGTTGACTAAGCTTCAATCATTACTAAAAACTACACCATTGAATTCAAAATGGTGATAATGACACAGCTGGGATAATATAATGACTAAAATATTCTTTATTTTCATACATGAAAGATTATTCAATAGAGTTTATTCTCTGTTACTAGCAATTGTTCTTATCACACTGTCAAGGAAACACCTCTGGGAAGCATAATCAATAATCCTGTAGAAGAATCCAAAGATAAACTCCCACACCAAAGGCATTTGCTCACAATGAAATAGTCCCCACCTGAAGTAAAAGAAAAAAATAAAATAATAATAATGGAAGTAAAATAAACAATTCTTTACTTATTTACTGAAGCTGTCAGTGAGGTCTGGGCAGTTTTTTCATCTTCCCCTTGAGAACCACTAAAGTCAGAATCCTGAAACCGCTTTCCAATCTTTGGCCGCTTTAGATGACTGCTTCGAGTACGAGTAGAAACAGGTGTTTTTTCATGACCTGAGTTAAAATAGGAAAACTGTACTCAACTGGGGCTGTGCAGAAGGATTATCTATTAAAATACACAAAAGTTTAAGAACTATGATAGTTTACATACATTCCCACTGCTGCACAAGTTTACCCTTTCCTAACAAAGCTAAGAAAACAAGGTGTTTTTATCTAAAATAACTTAGTGAATATTTATTCTTCACATTTTCACATTACCCTCACTTTTGAAAGCAGTTTTTGCATATTCTCTTACATACTCTCCAAATGATTTTGGGAGATACTGTCATACATTACAGTCCCTATTTCACACGTAAGAAAAAAAGGGAGAGAGGTGTAACAGCATCCTCAGTGCTCATACACAGCAAAACCGGGGGCAGCGATGGCTTCAGGACCCAGATGTGGATCTTAGAGCTGTGTAAGTCTTCACTTCTAGTCCCACACATGCCTGATCCTCAGTATCTCAAACACTTATGATGAATCAGATGAATTTCTTACCTTCAGACGTGCTTGCAAAGGTCTCCTTTAGAGAATCAATCTAAAATAGAGATATAGATTAAAATCTAACATTTGAAATTATTTTTTCTCCCTATGGATTTATTTTCATTCAGTTTGAAAGAAAAAAAAATTTAACTTTTTCAACTAGCACTTTTCATTAAAGTTACTTTGAAAGTGAAAATGTTATGTTATAGCCTCAGTTTATTATGAACCTAAGAACCTAAGTATCTAATAAGTTATAGGTGGAGTTTCCCAGTATTTTGTCCTCAGCCACCTGCTCTCCTCACTTTTTTACCTATCTTTATCTTAACATTTATTTGCTAATGAATCTTAATATACAACTTAAGCTCCCCATCTTCTACCCTGATTTCCAAAACTCTATTTCCAAAGGAATTACCTCCTGTGTGGAGAGCCCATCCAATTTCACACACAGCCTATCCCAAAATGAATCTTATCTTTTCCCAACATTACTCCCTATGGAGGCTAATGGTAATAGCAATTCAATCATTGTAGCCAGAAACCTATGAAGCAGGACTACCTTCTTCATATCCCTCATTCAATCAATCAATCAATCATAAAGCCTGTCAATTGTGGCTGAATATCTCAGAACTACCCTATCCATTATTTTAATATGGGCCTTAATTATCTTTAATATGAACTATTCCAACAGCCTCCTCACTGGTATATCTTGTTCTAATAATATTCTAATTTTTTCTACCACAATGACAGAATGATGGTTCCCAAATTACAAACTATGTCACAGCTTTGCTTAAAATAGTAATTTTAAAACTTTAATGGTTTGTCACTGCACAGAATACAGACTTGCAAACTTTTCAGTAACAAACATCTCTTTTATATTAAACATGCCATTTTCTTTCACATCTATGTGGTTTCTTTTTTTTTACATGATATCTTCCAAAATGCCATAAGAACTTTTAGCACTGAACTCCCATATGTTCTTTTAAAGTCTTCCCCTGATATATACCTCTAATCACTTGCTCAAATAATTAAGACAATTTTTGTCCTGTAGTATATTTGTTTACTTACCTGTTTCCAACAATGGATTATTATTTCCCATGTATACAAGAACCATATCTTTATATGCCCAAGTACACCTACTCCATTATTAACCATCATCCATTCATTCCTCCATGTTACACTTATTGAAATCCTAACATATAGGAGGCATGCAGACTTCAGAAGCTCTATTTAAACTATGGTTGACAGTAATTAATAATATGTTTCAAAATAGCTAGGTGAAAGGAATCTGAATGTTACCAACACATAGAAAGGACACATGACTAAAGTGATGCATATGGATATAATTTGATCATAACACATTGTATACATGTATACACACTGTACCCCACAAATATGTAAAATTATTTGTGTCTAAAGATATTTAGTATATTTATAGAACACAAAGGAATAACTGAGACAAATGGTATGATAAAAAATCTTGTCTTCAAAAAGTCTATAGTTCAACTAGAAAAGATAAAGATGAATAAATAAAAGATAAGAAAAGATATACAAGCAATTCATTTAGTATTTTATGTATCTAAATAAGGAAAAGCAAATAAAAACACCATCATCACCTACAGAATAAATCATGTAGTAAATAACTACATCCCCGTGTGGTTACTGATAAAAAGAGATTTAAATATAAAGCTAAAGAGATACAAATATTTTCCTTGAACTATTTAAGCCTTAAACTAATATGAAGAATCGGAATTTCTAAAGTGAAAGAAAACTTATGCTTTCAACCTTAGACAAAGTATCACTACAATGTATTCTCATTCAAATGACACATTTAAAATTGCTTAACTTAATATTAAAATAAATAATTTCCTTCAATATATTTATGGAAAGGGAAGACTCCACTTTCTTTGATTTTATTATATTTGGCAAATACTAAATGGACCTTTGTGTATCTGAGGAATTTGGACTATAACAGAAAAGAACAGGAACTTCTTCTGCAGTACCAAAAACATCAGTTCTAGACAAGAATCTGCTAAGTCCTGTGAATTCAGTAATGAAACCTGTTCTACTTGCAGCATACCTAACATTTGTAAAGTATATCCCTTCTACAAAGACCTAGCACATATAGCCTCAAACTTGCCAAAAAAAAAAAAAAAAACCTACATAATCTTTAACCTACTATTATTTCCACTTCTAGAAATTCCTATGTGCAGGGAAATAATTACATCTGCACAAAGATTCATGTATAAATGTTTTTGCTCCTGAACCAATTAAAAAGTTAAAAACTTAAATGTTCTATGTTAAGGAAATTAAAAATGCTATTATATTACATAAAAGAATATAGTGTGCTATTTCATGTTTTAAAACAGTAAAGCCATGGAAAATGCTTATAATATTATATTAACAAAGCAACTAGAATTATTTAAGAGAATAAATATATTTATAAAAATATATATAAATACATGCTGATAATGTATACTAATAAGTATACATTATAACAGTGCTATAACTGAGCAGCAGGATTGTACTATTATTGTCTTCCATATTATTTTTATTTATTCTAGATTTCCTTTAATTAGTTTGTAAAATTAGTATTAACATGATTAGCAGTATTTTTCAAAGCAAAGTAAGTACTTAATAAACAATACACAGAAGGTGCCAAGAAAACTAATGAAGATGAAATATCTAAGTTTCTAGAAATTAACTATAACATTTAAAACTTAAATACAGCTGGACGCACCCGCCTATAATCCCAGCAGCTCAGGAGGCTGAGATAGGAGGATCTCGAGTTCAATGCCAGCCTAAGCAACTCAGCAAGGCACTTAGCAACTCAGCGAGACCCTGTCTCTAAATAAAAAATATATTTTAAAAAGGACTGGAGATGTGGCTCAGTGGTTAAGCATCCCTGGGTTTAATCCCTGGTATTAAAAAAAAAAAAAAAAAAACCCACACTAAATGTAAACTTAATCTGCTTTAAAGAAATGGAAATATCACTATTACTTCCTTTAATGAACATACAATGTACCTACAGTTAGCTGCATCTCACTGGATTGATTTTCCTCAGTTCCCACTTCATACTCTGGAACAGTTGCAAGACCATATTCTCCAGACACAAATCTTTTGGCTTCATTCTGAGAACCCACTGTGTGCAGAAAGTTTCTGAATTATAACCCAATCAATATTTGGTTTTATATAATACTGTTTGTACTGATTTTCATAAACACTCTTAAAAGCAATCTGAACAGAAAGGTACTAAAAATTTAGATGCAAATGTTTCCTCTACAGCACCTTATAATGAATTATTATTATGAAGACTCTCAGTTACCTTACATTTTAATGGTGCTAGGGAGAGATGCTTGTGATGACACACTACTTTGGCCCCCAGAAGCCTATTCTATGCTGTTTCAGTAATCTGTGTTCATTTTTGTACCCATCAATTCCTACTGGGCTGTTACATTCAGCTGGGCTCTTCTAGGTATCTTCATTACTGGTGACTTGAAAGTCAATGTATAATAAAAATTCAGACAAGAAGGTTTGTTACTAGAAAGATATTGTAACATACCATTACTATGGACTGTAAGACACCACCATTATAAGACACTTCTTTTTAAACTGAACTGTGTTCAAGCTGAAAACACTCTCACCTGTAATTTTAAGTGTTTCTCTCTGTAATGCTCTGGTGACTGGTATTCGCTGGTACCAGTGTCCAACACCCTCTACTTCCCAAATAAGTTCGTGGTCTCCTGGATATTTTTCAAAGTATTGCTTGCAAGCTGAAAAAAATATTTAGAATTTTCTAGAAATCTCAAATATCAATTGTTTTGAAAAACAGAAGATCAAAGATAAGCTTGCTAAACAGTGCTAGAATAACCCTGATATCAAAACATGACCAAAGCAACTCAAGAAAAGTATGAAACAGTCTCATATATAAGGAGAAATCCTATAAAATCTCCAGAAAAATCTATAAAATCTCAAAAGTTTTAACACACTGATGAATCTAAAACAACAATCAACATATGTCAAAATGGTATCATTTATATAAAGTTTAAAAACACACGAAAAAGGGACTGGGGATATAGTTGAGAGGTAGACTGCTTGCCTTGCATGCATGAGTCCCTGGGTTCAATCCTCAGTACCACAAAGAAAAAAAAAAAAAAAACTAAAGAAACAAAAATGTTAAAGCCACTATGGAAAACAGTTCAGCAATTCCTTGGAAAGTTAAACATATGACCTAGAAATTTCATTCTCAGGTATATATATCCAAAAGAACTGAAAACAGAAACTCAGATATTTGTAAACAAATGTTCAAAACAACAATATACACAATAACCACAAGGAAGAGAAAACTGCAGAGTGAGGCAGTTCAAAGCCAGCCTCAGCAATTTAGCAAGGCCCTAAGCAACTTAGTAAAACCCTGTCTCAAAATAAAATATAAAAAAGTCTGGGAATATGGTTTCCGTGGTTAAGCACCCCTGGGTTAAATCCCCAGTACCAAAAGAAAGAGGGAGGAAAGAAATGTTAAATTTTATTTTACACATATATTTAACACAACAAAAAAACTTGGGAGGAAAAAAATTCAAAAGGGGCTGAAGATATAGCTCAGTTGGTAGAGTGCTTGTCTCGCAAGCACAAGGCCCTGGGTTAAATCCCCAGCACCACCAAAAAAAAAAAAAACAATTTAAAAAGTACAATAAATGGGGCTGGGATTGTGGCTCAGTGGTAGAGCGCTCGCCTAGCACGTGTGAGGTCCTGGGAGGGAGGGAGGGAGGGAGGGAGGGAGGGAGGAAGGAAGGAAGGAAGGTAGGTATTGTGTCCAACTATAACTAAAAAATAAAATTACAATAAACAATATTTGACTCTTCCCTTCTTTCTCTCTGCCCTCCTCCTCTCCTCTCTCTGTTCTTTGCCTCTCCTTTTCTTCGGGCAGCCCGCCAATAAAATCTCTTGGTTGAAAAAAAAAAAAAACAATATTTGAACATAAATATGAAACCATGAGCAGAAAGGATACATACCAACTTCAGGAGTACAATTACCTCTTGGAAGAAAAGGAGAAAGAGGGAGGGAAGGCTTCAAAGAGAAAATCAATGGCATCTACAACAGATGTTGAACAGATTGAGTATCCCTAATCTAAAATGCTTGACATGTTCCAGATTTCAGAGCTATCTGCAATTTAAAATATTTGATCTGGTTAAGCATCCCTCAACTAAAAATTCCAAATTCAAAACTTCTAGAGCCCAAAGCTACTCAAAAAAGTTTTAGATGTCAGAGCATTATTTATTTCAGATTAAGGATGCTCAACTTGTATTTAGTTCTCTAAAAATAAACTAAAACAACTAGGCAAAATCTTAATATTTTAAAAATCTGTATACTTGGATGAATGGACCCTAGTATACTATTCTATTATATAAATAAATTATAAACATCTAGTGGAAATTCATATTTGTAGGCCTCCCCAAGTTCAGCTTAACATGTAACTGGGCATTTTCCTGTTCCTCTTTTCAAGCCACAAAGAGGGTGCCCATAGATTGTTACAAGAGAGGTTTCTATGGGGCAACGGACTTTTGAGTGAGGGAAGCTCACACATACACCTGTACACACTCACTGGCAATGTTCTGGGTATTACAGATCTAATACCCCTTATCTGCAATGCTTCAGACAGAAGTATTCTTGATTCCAGGCTTTGCTTCATATTTTGGAACATTTGCACACGCACACTGAGAGATCTTGGGGTTGGGACCCAAGTCTAAACACAACACTTGTTTATGTTTCATGCCTATCCTATATACTTAGCCTGAAGGCAATTTTATTCAATATTCTTAGTGAACTATATCTTGACTACAATCCATCACATGAAATTGGATGTGGAATTTTCCACTTGTGGCATCATGTCAATGCTCAGCAAATTTCAGATTTTAGAGCATTTCAAATTTCAGGTTTTCTGATTAGGGATATCAAGCTGTAACTGCTCAGTCACCTAGGGTAAGGAAGACAACGATGGTTACTGATGGACATATACCATAAGGAAGAAAGCAACCTCTGATTTCTATCCCCTGGGTTTGTTTTTGGTTTTGTTTTTTTTGTTTTTGTTGTTGTTTTTGTTTTGGGGTTTTTTTTTTGGGGGGGGGGGCAGTTAACCATAGCACAGTATAGAAACAAGCAACATAAGAAACTTAAATTATAATATCTGACTCCAGTCTTTTGATACAAAGCCCCTAAAACTCTTGTAATTTCCTGAGTGATGTGATTATTAAGAAAACCTTTTGAAAGTAAAATAAAGATGTTGTGTCCACCAAAAACTAAAAAATAAATATTAAAGAATTCTCTCTCTCAAAAAAAAAAATAAAAAATAAAGGTATTTTGTCTAACTACAACTAAAAAATAAATATTGAAAAAAATTAAAAAAAAAAAAGAAAAAGAAAAAAATAACCTTTTGGTTTCTGCCCTGGTTCCTGAAACACAGCTCCTAACACCCTTGTGAATAAAGGTGACCAGAGAATCCTTTGATCTAATATTTGGTCTCTGACCTCTGTTTCTGACAGAGAGCTCCTAAATTCCTTGGAATTTCCTGGGTGATAAGAGTGTTTTCTGTTCCAAAACAGCAACTCTTGGTGGAGACTGGTCACCAGAAAGTAAAGCCATGATAGAAATAAGCTTGGAGATTTCAGCCCCACTCCCCATTCTCTAGAGAGAGGACGCCCTTTATCACTCATATGAAATAAGATACATTAAGTAAATAATGTATTTGCTTAATAAGGTTGCTTAAATAAGGTTTGCTGTATGAAGTCTAACATTTATGCAGGTACACAGTTTATAAACACAGAAGTATGTCTGCAAAGATGCATAAGAAACTGTCAATATTATTTGCCTCAGGAGCAGAAATGATGATTGAGAGGACAAAATGGTAAACTTCTTACTGAAATACCGTTCATATCTTACATTTTCTGACTGTACTTCCTATTTAGTGGAAATAATTCAGTTATTAAGTTGCAAAATGTGACCAAAATAAATATTTAAAACAAAAATTTTTAACAAATTAACATAAATATAAAAATTATTGTTAAATTAAAAATAGGATAAGCCAATCCTAAAGAACCAAAGGCCAAAGGTTTTCTCTGATATGCAGATGCTAATTCAAAATGGGGTGGGGGGAGAATAGAGGTATTTTGGACTAGACAGAGGGAAATGAAGGGAGAGGAGGGGGCAAAGAGGTAGGAATGATAGCAGAATGAATCGGACACTATTACCATATGTGTATACATGATTATATGATCTGTGTCTTGTAAAACCAGATGAATGAGAAGTTATACTCCATTTATGTATGATGTGTCAAAATGCATTCTACTGTCTTGTTTAACTAATTAGAATAAAAAATATTTAAAAAAACTGACAGGACAAAAAAATAAAATAAAAATAGGATAAGATGAACTAAGGTAGATTTTGGATATGTAACATTCTAATCTTAATAACCCTTAGATTTATTCAAAGTATTTTTACCTTGTTTTGTTGTTGTTCTTGACAGCTATTTCAATTTGCATTATGTCACTCAAGGAAAAATTTAAGTTACAAGTTGAGTATCCTTTTTCCAAAATGCTAGGGACCAGAGTGATTCCAATTTCAGATATTGGGAGAACAAAGAGGTAGAAATATTTCATATACATAATGAGATATCTTGGATATGACCCAAGTCAAAATGCAAAATTCATTTATGTTTTATTTACACTCCTTATGCACATAACCTGAAGGTAATTTTACACAATATTTTAGATAATTTTGTGCATGAAACAATTTCATGGTGTAGAATTTTCACCTTGTGGCATTATATCAATTCTTTAAAAATTTCAAATATTAGAGTAATTCAGATTCTAGATTTTCAGATTAGGGATGTTCAATTAGTAATAATCTCAATAAGTATTTACAAAACTTCTTTTAAGAGAAAGAGAGAGAGAGAGAGAGAATCTCTTTTTTTAATGTTTATTTCTTTTTTTTTTAGTTTTCGGCGGACACAACATCTTTGTTTGTATGTGGTGCTGAGGATCGAACCCAGGCCGCACACATGCCAGGCGAGCGCGCTACCGCCTGAGCCTCCCCAGCCCACAAAACTTCTTTTAATTGGTGAAAAGTCAGAGACTCTATTTGGCAGCAGAAATAGTTCCAAATTTTTTAAAAATCATACATTAACTAAGTTGTAGAAAATCTTGGCCTATTTATTTCATGTATCTACAGTACTATGCAAACCAATTTCATATACGAAGGTGATCATCTACTCTAGATCAACTCCCCCTCCCACACCTGGCACTCACTACCTATTTGGAGAGTGAACAAATTTATCTCTTTCTTTAAAAACCTGCAATGTAGCCAGGCACAACACACCTGTAATCCCAGTGACTCAGGAAGCAAAGGCAGGAGATCTTAGTTCAAAGCCAGCCTCAGCAACTTAGCAAGGCACTTAGCAACTCAGTGAGACCCTGTCCCCAAATAAAATACAAAAAAGGGCTGGGGATGTGGCCCCAGGGGTTAAGCACCCTGGTACAAAAAAAAAAAAAAAAAAAAAACCACTTGCAATGTAAAATACTTCAATATTCCTAAAACATCCAAAAGTATTACTGGAAGCAACTGGAAATCACCAAAGAACTACTGGACATAACTGCAACATCAAGGAACTACTAATAAAGTTTAAAAATTGAATGAAATCTACCTTTTCAAATGTAGTAAGCACTGTTTCTTCCAACAGAGTCAGAAAGAGAAATATAGTGATGCAGGGACCACATAGATTAAAATAGGAGTATTAGAAGGAAGACCAAAAAGAAGACAGAGAGAGGACAAGGAAGGAGGAGAAGGGAAGGGAAAGGGGAGACAGTGGGGAATGAAAATGACCAAATTATGTTATGAATATGTACAAATATGTCACGATGAATACTACTCTTATGTATAATTAAAATGTGCCAATAAAATTTATACTTTTAATTATTTTCAGATTTCAAATTCTTACAAAATTATATAGATGATATCAATAAAACACTGTGAGAAACTCTCTTATTTAAACTGAAGGAAAAATGAAGAGCTCAAGCTCATCAAGACTTCACAAAAAGACAGAAATCAGCAAATACTCATCTATAATTCATTCTTCTTGTCATTACAAAATCATAGAAAAGACTAATACTAAGAAGGTAATCTACCTGCAGGGGATGTCTTTGCATTCCTCTCCCAAATTCAGTAAAGGGGTAATTAAAATAATCTAATTCAGAATTATCCTAGGGCATGCAATGCCCATATTACTCCCCCGAATGGAGCTAGAGAGAAAATGATTCAAAATGGGCAGGTAACATCCAGCTTTTTGGATCACTTTTGATATTAGAGTGGGAGGGAGGACTTGGAATAAAAAGGTCTTCAGTGGAAATAAACATCGGATGTTGGACTGACAAAAATCAGTAATAAATAATATTTTATATTTCTAAATTAATTATTTTCCAGGATTAAATCTTACATCATTAAAAAAAAAGGGAGCTGTATGGGCTTAAATCACCTAATGGTTTTTAAAACATCACCAAATGGTATATTTATTCAATATAAACTAAACAATATTGAAAATTATTACAGTTATAATGAATCCACATTAATGACTTCCACATTGAATAAGGAAGTAAATTTCAGAAGAATTCACAGAATATATATTTGTATAAAGTCTTAAAATACGTAAAACAATATAATATATTGTCTGATAATACACACATATGTATTAAAGGTCTAAGAAATGCATGGAAAAAGTAAATGCTAAACTGAGAATAGCACCTGTCTCACGAAAGGGAATGTGTTCAACTGAGTGAACAAGAGGCTTCAAGTGTAGTAGCAACAATGCATTTCTCATGAAAGGTACATGCTGAAAGGTGTATGAGTACTTGTTACCTCATTCTTTATACTTTTTTAATTTTTTTTTTAGTTTTGATGGACACAGTACCTTTATTTATTTATTTTACGTGGTGTTCAGGATTGAACCCAGTGCCTCATAATATGTGAGGCAAGCACTCTGCCACTGAGCCAAACCCCAGCCCTCTTTATACCTTTTTATGTCTGGAATTTTGTTTTTGTTCATTAAAAAGTTACCACAGACAGGGGCTAGGGCTGTAGCTCAGTGGTAGAGCGCTTGCCTTGCAGGTTTGAGGTTCAATCCTCAGCACCACATAAAAATAAATAAAATAAAAGTATTATGTCAAACTACACCTAAAAAAAATTTTTTTTTAAAGATACCACAGACAAATAACCCAATGGGAAAAAAAATGGTCAAAAGATCTCAATAAACATTTCTCCAAAAATGACATATAAATGGTCAATGCTAACATGAAAAGATGCTCAACATAAATCAAAACAATAAAATGCCATTTCATATTCACTAGGCTGACTGTAATAAAAACAGATAACAAATGTTGGCAAGAGGGTAGAGAATGTACGCAATCCTATTGTTATGATGTGGATATGAAATATTCCCCAAAAGCTCATATATGGGACAATGTAAGAAAATTTAGAGGTGAAATGATCGGGGCATGAGAGCATTAATCCAATCAGTGAATTAATCACCAGACAGGGATTAACTGGAGTGGTAATGGAAGGTAGATAGGTTGTGTGCCTTTAGGGTATATATTTTGTCCTAGTTGAGCAGAGCAAGTGATATCTCTCTGTCTATGTCTGTCTCTGTCAGTATCTCTCTCTCTCTACTTCCAGGTGTCATGTTCCCAGGCGCTTCCCTCCACCACACCCTTCCACCATGATGTTCTGCCTCGCCTCAGGCCATGAAGAATGGAGTCAGCCATCTATGGATTGACAATCTTTTAAAACCATGAACCCCCAAATTAACTTTTCCTCCTTAAAATTGATCTTGTCAGGTCTTTTGGTCACAGTGATGAAAAAGCTGACTAAAACACTCACATACTGTTTATGGAAATATAAAATACTGCAATCATTCTGGATCAAAATGGTGTATATCTATACAATGGAATATTATTCAGCCATAAAAAGAAATGAAGTATTAATTCAGGCTACAACATGGATGAACTCTGAAAGCATTATGCTAAGAAAAAGCCAAATACAAAAGGTTATATACTACGTGATTTCATTTATATGAAATCTCTAGAATGGCTAAATCCAGAGACAGAAAATAGATAAGAGGTTGCCTATCATGGGATGTTAAAAAAAGGGGGTTGAGGGGAATACAGCATGGCTTCTAATTGGTACAAGGTTTCTTCTGGGGTGATGAGAATGTTCTAGAGTTAGTACTTAAAGCTGCACAGCCGTGAACAATCACTGAATTGTACATGTTAACAGGGTGAATTTTATGGTATGAGCCACCATAATCCCCGAAAGTCATATATCAGAGATCAAGGCACATTTATAAAATTAAAAGAGTAAAAAATTCCAAATTTATTTAATATTGCTAATATACACTTATATAACAATTCAGGAGAAACAAGCTGGAAGTGGCAATAAGACCAGCTCACCCTTTTCAACTTACTCCACTGACCTGTATACATGAGAGAAGACAGTGGATACCGCAAACCAAGTGCATCTTCTGTGAAGGAATCTACGAAGTCCTCCAGCATATGAAGCCCAAAATCTTTGCCTCTGAATTTCTTTCTTATGAACATTGTATCAAGAACTGGCAGTTGGTAACTTTGGGTAAGAAATGAGGCACATATGCTTCCTGTGGTAGTAAGAACAGAAACCCAACAATTTTTCACATTAAAAAGTACATATATATTTAGTGAAACTGAGTTAACAATCTTCCCAAAAACATTTATTTTTTTCTACATCAAGAAGGTTATGAATTTTATAACGTGTTTTCCAGCTTTTACTACTTATCACAATGCATACATACAAGGAGAACTATGTATTTTCTTTGCCAACAGCATTATGTAACATAGGACAAATACTGTTTACTGACATGTAAACAGTATACATATAGTCAACAGTATACTTGACTATATGTACTATATGTACTATCATTGTCTATAGACATACAACTTTCAAACTCAAATATCAAAATTTCAAATTCAAAACAGTATTTGATGATTTTGTAACCTTAAGTATTTACTTCAAACCTTAGAACCTGAACATTCAACATTGTCCTTCACTTTCTCCCTAATGAGTATCATCTCATTTGATCTATTTGTTAATGATAGAAAGTATTCAGTTCTCAAACTTTTAAGAACTCTGAATTAGACTAATTGGGGACATTAGAAATGGCTAAGTCGGCAAACTTTTTCTGTGAATATATTTCTAAATACATTTTATATGTCAGGAAATAATTTGTGGTCTCCAAGTATGTCTCTATTGTAAAGTATGGCTGATTTCTTTTAAGAATCCTGGTATATATATTTGGGTTCTTACCACCCCAAATGGATATCTGAACTCCTTTAATATGCATGAAGACAGTCTGCCAAGTTGAGGACAGATGACAGGGTTTCCCACTTTCCATTACTTTTAGAATTCATAATTAAAAAATCAATATTCTCCCTCTTGCCTCAAATAAACTAATTCATAGTATTTTGGAAAATTCTAACAATGTAATTCCAATAAGAAGCAAAATGTCAGATAATATCTCACTGACTTCTACCAATCATATCATTTGATGAGTTGACTGATAAAACAAGACTTTACAGTTCAACCAAATAATATTGAATTATTTATGATTTAATTTATGATTTATGATTTAATTGGAGAATTTCAATAACTTCTTATAACAATCTCCAAGACAATCAATTAATGTAAATTTAGAGGACTAGGGTTGTGGCTCATTGGTAGAGCGCTTGCCTGGGATGCGTGTGGCCCTAGATTCGATCCCCGGCACTCCATAAAAAAATAAACAAATAAAATAAAGGTACTATGTCCATCTACAACTAAAAAAAATTTTTTAAACTAAATAAACAATAAATAAATTTAGAATACATAATGAATATTTTATAATATACTTAGATCTCAATTACCAACATGGACTTAGAATGTTTCTAGGGGACTAAATATCTCACATTAACCTAAAAGTAGTTCCATCAACACGCTTAAATGACCATTACTAGTTTTTAATGCCTTGAAAACAGAGTTTTCTCATAGCAAAAGAGACATTATTATTTGTAGCATTTCAAGTTCAAAGTACACAAGAAGGACAAATAAGAAAAGGCACTATCTACCTGGTTTTCAATACAAAACCCAAAGATCTATAATTGTTAATTGTGTATGCCTTGAGTTTCTTACAAGAGAATACTAATTACATGAAGGAACTTTCCTATAAGTTGTCTTATTTCACAGTAATATTACTTCTAGGTGAGAAAAGGTAAATTCTTCAATCTAAAATGCTCACTTATGGAATAGTGTTCATGAAGTTTAAAGTTCTTACTACTATCAACTCATCACATACATGTTCATCTTAAAAATAGCATTCTGGTTCTCTTTACTTGCCTATACTTTAAATACTTAAACCTCTCCAGGGTTCAATGTACATGTTACCAGAAATATCAACAGTTGCAGAAAGCATAATTACCTAGTTTAAAAAAAACAAAAAACCCACAACCTGTGGCACCAGGTGAAGATTTCATTGAAATTATTAACTTAAATCAAATTTCATAGCACATATGATAAACTGAATATTTGTATTCCTCAAAATTCCATCTTTGAGCTCCTCTCTACAAATGCTCTCTATGGGTAATCTTATCCATTCACAAGGTTTCTGCCATTTATGCAAACACTAATGTCTATCTTTAACTTCTACAATGCAGGATAAATGTAAAGAAAGCAAAAGTCACATGAACATTTCTACAGCCAGAGAAAAAAACATGACAAAGCCCAATAACCATGATAAAAATACAATAACCTACAAAAAATATACTGCTAACATCATAGTAAATAGTAAAAGACTAGATATTTCTGCCTAATCAGGAATGAGACAAGGATGGTCACTCTTACTACCTACATGTACATGATATAATTTTGTTTGAGCAAAAATATTAAGGAATCCATTAATAAACTATGAAAACTAAAAAACTACAAACATTGTTAAAAGAAATCAAAAACACCTAAGTAAAAGAAAAGTGATTCTATGTACATGGAGCTGAAAAGAAATTTTGACATTAAAATGTCAAAATCTCCCAAACTGGGCTAGGGTTGTAGCTCAGTGGTGGAGTGCTTGCCTAGCACGCATAAAGCACTGGGTTCATGCCTCAGCACCATATAAAAAGAAATAAGTAAAAAATAAAGGTAATGTGTCCATCTACAACTAAAAAAAAAAAAATTAAAAATAAATTTCCCAAACTGACCTATAGGTTTAAACTCTGAGCTAGATTTCTTTGCAAAACTAACTTGCTAATCCAAAAATTCACATGGACATAAAAAAGATCCTAAATACCAGAACAATTATGGCAAAAAACTTCCCAATTTCAAAATATACTATATACTAAATATATATACTATATATATATACTATATATACTATATACAATATACAATATATACAATATATACTATATATATATATATATACTATATATACTATATACAATATACAATATATATACTATATACAAAATATACTATAAATCTATGGTCATCAAGACAGTGCACTGATGGCAGGAATATAGATACAGGGTTCAACAGAACAGAAGTGAGGGTACAGAAACAAACACTCTTTTATGGTCAATTAATATTCCTATAGAGGAACAAGACAATTTTATAGAGGGAAGTCTTTCCAATGAACAGTGCCAGAACGACTGAATGTTCACAAACTCAAAAGAATGATGTTAGACCCTTCCTTGTACCATATACAAATCATAACAGCAAACAGACCATAAATTTAAATTAATGAGCTAAACTATAAATATCTTAGAAGAAAGCAAAGGTGTAAGCCTTCATCATCTTGAGTTAGACAAAGTCTTCTCAGAACACTAAAAGCACAAGATGAAAAACTTACATGGTTCAAAGAAAACCATCCAGAAAATAAAAACACAACCCACAGAATGGGAAAAATTACATATCAGAATAACTGTATTCCAAATACTTAAAGAACTCTTACAACTCAAAGACAACAACTAGATTAGCTATTTCCAGGGACTGTGTGTACGAGAAAAGGGAATGACTGCTAATGAACACAAGGATTCTCTTTTTTTCTTTTTTTCAAGTAATGAAAATGTTCTGGGGGCTGGGGATATAGCTCAGTTGGCAGAGTGCTTGCCATGTAAGCACAAGGCCCTGGTTCGATCCCCAGCACCAAATAAATAAATAAATAAATGAGTGAGTGAGTGAGTGAGTGAATGCGGCACGTGATTCTGGATTGGATCCCCATTAAGGATTTAAAAAAAAAAAAAAAGGAAGAAAGAAAATGCTCTGGAATTAGATAGTAACTGAAAATAGAATGAGAAATGAAGACATGTACACATCCTTAAACATCATAGCAGCATCATTCAAAATAGCTTTAAAATCAAAAAGTTAATCAACTAATGAAAGTCAAAACTGTTGAATCATATAAGAGAATATTATTTAATCATGAAAAGGAATGAAGTGCTGATACATGCTGCAATGCAAATGAGACTTGAAAACATTATGCTAAGTAAAAGAATTCAGACCCAACTAGGCTCATATTATATTATTTCATTTATTTGAAATGTTCTAAATAGTACAAAGTTTCTTTTGGGGTGATGAAAACTACCTAGAATTGGTTGTGGTAGCAGTTGCACGATTGTGTAAATGCACTAAAAAAATTGAATCATACACCTTAAATGGGCAAATGGTGCCATATATGAATGTCTCAAAAGCCATCATAAATGTTAATAAAACAAAATAGCAATTTATACACATGACTCCAATAAACCCTTTAGTCAGATTTTTCATAGACTGTTCTAAAAACAGTTCCTCCACCAGTTCACCAATTTCTCAGAAAACTTCACCACCATTTGCCTAGTTACCCAGAGCAAAAAGTCTAGAACCCATCCTTGACTCCTTTCCAGTCCATGTACATCTATCAGAAAGTCTGAGGCAGTAATAACAATACTCCTATCCTAACTCCTTTTGCCCAAGCTCACCATCACCATTCACTAAGGGTTTCCACAACAACCAACAGAATTTTCAACCCTGCCATATCTCTGCATGCCTTCACCTGGTTTCCCACACAGCAGCCAGGGACCTTGTTTAATAAATATATATATTTAGTTGCAGTTGGACACAATACCCTTATTTATTTATTTTTGTGTGGTGCTAAGGATTGAACCCAGTGCCTCTACAACTGAGCCATAACCCCAGCCCCCAACCAGGGACCTTTGGGGGCTGGGATTATAAGATAATTCCACCCCCATTCTTAGAACTCTTCATGGTTTCCCATCATCCACAGGACAGTTTTCAAACTCCTTCTTTGGCCTAGAGACCTTTCAGGATACAGCTCCTGACTCTCTCCAACTCCCTGTCATTCATTCCCTGTACTCTAACCACACCAGCCTTCTCCCTATTACTGAAGCACTCCAAACTTATCTCTGCCTCAGGGCTTCTTCATTAGTTCTTGCCTGCAAGTCTCTTCTGAAATTTCACATTTCATTATTCTGTCACTTCCTTCCTTCAGAAAGGCTTCCCTAGCCATTATTTTAAAAATGATATCCACTCATACACACTCTAATCTTTTAATCCACTAGACTTTTCTTCATAGCACCTGACAGAATACATCGGCTT